CATCACCAATATCCCCCAGGCCTCCGACGCTCACACATGGACATTCGGGGAGATAAATGGTTTAATGCAAATTTGATATCCGCAATGAGCAGAGTCTGGGACGACTGCTTCCGACTTACTGGCCGCCATGGGTCACCCACATCCTAAAACCACGGGCACACGAGAAAGGGAACTAATTATTTAGGAGGTTTTGACATATTTTAGTCAGACACCCTATTGCTTGGGCTACGGCCAAGTAGTTTGTACGCGGTAGTCTGTATGCAGCGGTGTCCCACTGACCGGGCACGATGGCAGGTGTTCTGGAAATGACCTCAAACACCCCTTTAACCTGTCGGCTGGCTTCAAAAAACTGCGAATACCTTTCTTTGGGCAGGCCTCTGCGTTCCTTGGACACTTGTTGGTTTCAACAAGTGGCTACACATACGACGGTTTCGATGAGGTTAAAAGGCCTGGCTGTTCCGTTCCTACGGCAGCTCGTAAACTGCGATGTAGTTCAAATCGGTGGAATAGCCTGTACCCACACTGATGGCCTTAACGCGGGTAACGGGGGATTTCTGTGATTATTATTAACCTGGTGTTGGTAGCCTTTCTGAACACTGCAGCATAGTGGAGGCGGTAATCTGTTTCTACTGTCTTTGTCAACGGAAACTTTGATTAAAAGGAACTACTGTGTGTCAGAACTAAGCACAGTGAGCTCTAGGTACTCACAGGGGTTTCATGCCATATCGGCCATTGCATCCAATCTCATAAGTAGTCGACTTGACTTAGACAGACCAACAGTTCCACCGTCGATTCCGACAATGTCCATCGCGTGCTCCATGGCGTGGTGGTGCGGGGACGGTGACTTATGCATGGGTTACTTCTGAGTGATACTAGACTCGAGCTGCATCCATTATAATCCCTCTTCCCTCACTAACTTTGCCCGGTGTCAAGAAGACCAGAGGTGGAATCGGGCGCCAGCGACCAGAGCCGCCAAGCCCGACTCAGACCTTACAGAGTGGGAGTGCCAAAGGCTACGGGGGGGAGGGACTGGTGCTTGAGCATGCACTTAGGTGTGCCACCATGCTCCCCTCATGTTCGACATTTGTTATGGAATTGTAACCAAAAGAACGCCTACCATGCCTTGATCTGCCCCCGTTTTGGTTCAACGTATCTACCACGCGGCCCGTTTAGGGGACACACTTAGACCACACACACAGAGAGTTCAACTGTCAGTTTCGATGAGGTCGACCATGTGCTCCACAGCAAGGCGGTGCAAGGTCGGTGGCCTGTGCTGGATTATACCGATAGCACGCTTGCGTTGCATCTACCTCACTCTCAGATCCACTCCTGC